TAAAAAAAAACCACACTTTGGCAATCAGGTGATCTTTGGTCCTCTGTGAAAGTGATCCCCTTAAAAAGGCTATTGTATATTGGGGCATCATACAGGCAAGGATGCTATAGGCTGTGCACTACTTGTTCTTTGTAAATACAGGACTTCAATCCCTAATGCTGCCAACCTGCTATCTTTCACTGGCACTAAATTCACTTTATTTTTAAAAATAAATATTCTTGCCTTAAGTGCAAGAATGTGATTTTAAAATATAGAATTCACTGACCACCCAAAGGAAAATAGCTCTAACTACTGTACATGGATGTACTGTTACTCGGGGCCTAAAAGTTTTAGTCAATAACCATAGTACATCTACATGCTTATCTCACAGAGGTGTGCAAAATTCTCCATCTCCTGCCTTTCACTGAAAGCACAGACAGTTCATTAAACTGTCACCTCAGGGTTTCATGAGCAAACTCATTAAAACAAATGTCACATTACCATGCTGTCCAGTTCTAGGAGACTATGCATGCTGATGAATTAACTTCACACTGAAGCCATTTCAGAACATATTTTAATCTTATTTAAGAGATGGAAACTTCACTTAAGCGCTGATTCTCAGATACAGAGTGTGCTGTCTTTACTGCTTTTTTAAAGAAATAACAGTGAGTTGGCATATTTAAAAAAAGTGAATTTTATCTAGCTTTTCTATGCTAAGCTTTTCTAGCACCCGCTTGTAGCCCTATTGCTTCAGGTCTTTGCTGATGTAACACAGAATGATCTTGTGCAATTTAGAACTCTCAAGATATGTGGGTGAATTTTTGACAAATTATTCCTGAATCTTTTATGAAGATTAACATCTAATATGTTTAATTATGCATATTCCATGTGTTAAAAACTACCTCAGTTTTATATATTGGATTTTCCCTGGTAATATGCAATTGCCTATGGCTGAAACAGCTAGACAACATAAGATCTGTACATCATTTAAACCTACTACAGCCCAGCATTACACATCTCTCCTGTTACAAATTACTCATTATCATTACTGGAATACAGTAGACATTGAACCAAAAAAACTATGCTCTTAAGGGAACTTTTACTCTTAAAGAATGCAATACAAATAATATTGTCAACTACTTTTTCAGCTATTGAATAGGTGGAAAATGCAATTTATTGGAAGTAATTGTGTCTCCAGATGTTTACTACTTATAAGTCTGTCCCTTTATTATCTTACCAATGCACTAGTGCAATGCTTCACTTGCCTGCCCCAAGTTTTATGGGAATACTCAAATTACTGTATCCCCTTTTAGCATACAAATTTCAATTGTGTATTCCACTACTCTCAGAAGAGGAATTATTCCCTGTTAACCTAGATCTTTTAATTAATGGCCAGGCCTTCTGTTTGAGAGATCTTACCTTGTCCTGGCAGGATCAGATCATCTTTTTAAACACAGGCATAATGGATAAATATTTATGCAGCTATTTACAAGTGTGGAATTGTTTCATAAAAAACAATGGACTTAAAATAGTAACTTTGGTGCTGAAGATGTTTATTGCATGCTCTATAGCCACTTCACTGAGGCCGGGTATCATTTGTATTTTACAAAGTCAGAGTGAGGCAGGGGCACTGGGCTGAGTGACAGGAGGGAGGGATTTAGGGCAGGTGGGGTCACTTACCCACAGTTGGTGAGCAGCATTATGGAGAGTTCTGTCCC